AGAGGGGGAGAAATTTTTTAAAAAGTTATGAAGGGAGGAAAAAGAAAGAAAAATGAAAACCACTGAATTAACTATTGCAACAGCTTCCTATCTGGTCTCTCTACCTCCAGTCTCTATCCTTCCAATCTGCTTGGAAATGTTGCTATGAATTGTGGTTTATGCATTAATGTTTTTAAAAACATTTTAAAACATAAATACTACATGAATATGGTTTTGCAGTAAATAGCCCAAACAATAAAGAAGTCTCTGACTGTGCTCTTCCAGCTTCTGCACTAGTGATATTTTGGATTAAATTCTTTGCTGTGGGAGTTGTCCCATGGATTGTAGGATGTTTAGCAACATCCCTGGCCTCTGTCCACTAGTTGTCAGTACTGCTCTGCCAGTTGTGACAACTAAAAAAACATCTGGAGACATTGGGAAATATCCTCTGGAGAGTAAAACCTCCCTCTTTTGAGAAAAACTGCTAAAGAATAAAAAGTGCATGCTCTCTTCACCTCCATCAATCCCACTCCCCTCCTCAGAGAAGAGCATTAATATCAGTTTACAACTATCATTCCAGACCTTTTCAGTGTATTTACATACATATGTATGTATAAAGCATGGGTGGGGAATATCCGACCCATGGATCATATAAGGCCCAATAAATCATTTGGTCTGGTCCTGCCAAGACAGGGGTGTTGATTAAATGTTTGACCAAATATAGCAGGCTAGTTTTTAAGCTGATAATTTTGTATGGTCCTTGAATGATGTTATAAATATCCAAATGGCCCTTGGCAGGAAAAAGGTTCCCCACCTTTGGTATATAACAATGTGATTTTTCCAAAATGCAGATTTGATTATATCACTTTTCTGATCCAATTTCTTCCAAATAGTCTGTAGGATAAAATGCAAAATTCTTAGTCAGGCATATACTGGTAAGGGTTTCTTTAGGTTCTTTTCCTGCTATCCCTTTTTTAGGCTCTTTATGCTGTCAGCCCCTTCTTGCAGTTGAGCCTCTCACTATAGAAGCTGAAAATGCCATATACTCATGTTCCCAAACTCCCTTGCCTTTAGGGCATGGGCAGAGGACTGGAAGGGATGTCTGATGGGGAGCTTCAGGGAAAGGATTTCCTGCCTACCAAAAGGTCACATGTGTAATAAAGTGGTCCTCTTGTCCTTCCCTGGATGTGGTTGTGCCTACCTTTGACACAATAACTATTTTGCAATCCAGAAGAGAGAAATTGTTGACAGACTAAGGATAATAGAACAGAAGGATAAGAAATCCTCTGGGTCCTTGATGACAACATTGAACCACTGAAGCTGCCTTGGAATCACCTTGCTCTGGGCCTCTTATCATGTGAGATAATAAGCTAATTAATGTTCATGTGTCCATGATACTTTTACATGAATACCCAGTTACTTGCAATTGAAAGTACTCTAATACATACCATATTTAACATATTATAGTTACATGAATACACTAGTACATTTTTTTGTGCCTGCTGGTTTCTCTGTTTGGAATGCATTCTCCACCATATCTGCATGACAAGTACTCATACACTTAGTTCCATCTTAAGTGTCATCTTCTTCCCTATGAAAACTTTCTAACCATCAACCTATACCCAGAAATGACAACCATCCCTACTTCATGAATCTATTTTATCTTGTTCATATTTTATTATAATTGCAATTTACCTATGTGTCTACTTTCCCATTAGACTGTGATCCACCTTGATGGATGAGGCTACATATGATTCATTTCTGAATGAATGTGCTCATCATAAGGCTTGACAGAGAGCAAAGACTTAGTAAATGTTTATTGAGTGAATGGATGGTTAGGTTAGATGATTAGTGAATGAATGAAGTAGCTGAGGTAGGAGATGGTAAATAGTCCATTTCATTGAATGTCCTGCTTTAGCCCATGCTGGTTTAGACCTTCAAAACTCAGAAAGGGGGAGGGTTCTAAGGATAGTAGAGGTCCTCAATCCATTTCTACTGAAGATTGCTACCACTGCTCTAGCCAGAGTATATCCCTGTCCCCTTTTTCCTGACTACCAGGATCTGACTTAGAATAGTAGTACAGAAACCAAAAGTATAGCCGTCAGTCTTGTACCAAGGGAAGCAATCATCTCAGGGAAAATTATCCCTATGAGGTAGGTTATCTAGCAACTTGTTCCTCAAAGTGCCAAGAGCTTATTAGAATGTAAAGTCTCAGCCCTCACCCCAGACTTTGAATCAGAATCTGCATTTTAACAAGATGCCCAGGTGATTCCTATGCACACTTAAGTTTGAGGAACAGTCCATCTCTCCATGGAAAAACATGGCATTTTCTCAAGTACAAACAAATGGGGCTTCTAAAGGGTGTCCCAAAATTCATGCAAGAAGTAATTCTGATAGAAAACACAGGTTTATAATTAAAAATTGTAAATTTTTTATTGATTCATAAAGTATATAATATAGGGTTATGTATGGAATAGCATATCGGGTAATTTAGGCACAAAAACTGGATTATCGTGTCATGATAACGAGCACCATTAACTGTTATTGACTGAGCAGTCGCATTTTCAAAGCAGAATGGTCCGATGATGCCTCCAGCCCAAAATCTGCACCAAACAG